CCTTTTTTTTTTTTTTTTTTTAATTTTGAGAAAGAGTCTCACTACATTACCCAGTCTGGGCTCCAACTTGAGATCCTCCCACCTCCTCCCGAATACTTGGATGATTGGTGCCACCACACCCCCTCGTGTAGTATTTTGTTTTGTTTTTTGGCATGGGGGTCAGAACTCGGGTCCTTGCACCACTGAGCTAAATCCCTGGCCCAAGTGTAGTGTTATTTTTTTATGCAGAACCCAAAGGACAGGTCTTTGTGTGAGCAGCCGACACAGGCTCGGCATCCAGGCACCGTGTTGAGGCTGTACATGTGCACGGCCCACACTGGCTGTCTGGCTCGGGCGTGCTCTCCCATGGGGTGGATGCGGGTACTACAGAAGCTGCACACCTTGCTAGGGTGACTACAGGTCCTTTGAAAAGGTACATTCCCTCAGTTCCAAAAGGTATTATTAAAAATGATTTAATATTATTTTTTACAGCTCCCATATGTTCTATAATAAAAACATTACCTTGATTAAAAAAAAAGAAGAAAAGAAAAGGTACTTTCCATGATGTTGGGGTGTTTTTGTTTTTGTTTTCAATACTAAAGACTGAACCCAAGGCCTTTGTACTGGTCTGCATCCCCTGCCCGTTTTTTTGTTTTGTTTTGAGACAGGGTTTTGGCAAGTTGCCCAGGCTGGGCTCGACCTTGTGTGAGCCTCCTGCCTCAGCCTTCCAGAGTGCTGGGTTACAGGTGTACATTACCACACCCAGCGAGTGTTACAATTTTTCTGTTTGGAAAACAGGAAAAGCACTTCATGGACAGTACCCGTGCTGAAGTTTGACAGATCTTGCTCGGAGAAGCACGTGTCAGACCTGGGGTGCTCCCCCGGGGTGCACTGGGGGACACCATGGTGCGAGTGGCCTCCCACAGGCACACCATGAGTCACACTGCCAGGGGATGGCAGAGAGGAAGGTGGCAGGCGGTGGGCATTGAGGGCAGATAGGAATGACACTTGTGGTCAGGGAAGTGTCGCACTGCAAGCGACACTGAAGATCTTAGAAGAGGCTAGGGACTTTTGTGAAAGAAAAAGGAGGTATGAGGGGTCACACAGGCTAGGAGGCTGCTATCTCTAAGAGCAGGGCCATGAAGGAGACTCGGGGGATGGCAGTTTTGCTAGTGGTTTAAATGAATCTGGTACCCGTTTCCTGGTTCTGATTCATCACGAGCTCCTGTCGTCCCATGGGGTTGGCGGGGCGGGGTGGGGATGTCTGTGTCAGGAAATCTCCAAGTCAGTCCCTGCCAACATCCGGTCCTGTCCCCAGCCCTGACTTCAACACTGTCCCCTCTGTCCTCTGAGAGTCACGCTTTGCAACCTGGTGTGTTTCAGGGCCCTGCCGAGCCTGGACATTACCGTGTGGTCAGAGCTGCCCCCTGGGGCAGGCTTGGGCTCCAGCGCTGCCTACTCCGTGTGCTTGGCGGCCGCCCTCTTGACTGTGTGTGAGGACATCTCTAATCCACTGAAGGACGGAGACAACATCAGCAGGTGATCGCAGCCCTTGCCCTGGTCAGTGTCCTTTCTTCATGTCAGGGACCTCACCGACCCTCTGTGAGGTGACATCAGCCTGGTGGCCATTTTTCGTGTGAGGAAAATGAGGTCTAGGGAGGCCAGATGGCTGGCCCAGGACCGCGCCAATAATGATGGCAGAGCAGGATCAGAACTAGACAGTCTGAATCCAGAGACTGAGCTCTTTATCCCTGTGCCGTGTCCCTCACCCCTATCTTTGTTCTTTGGGGTTCAGGTGCCTGTGGTGTGGTAGAAAGAACTTGAGTCTGGATATAGACGGAGGTGTGCTAGACGAATCCTTGCACCTCTGTACCAACTTGCTGTGGGACCTAGGCCTGCTCACTGCACCCCTCCGAGCATCCCTGTCCTCCTCTGAATGCTAATGAGAATGCCTGAGGGCTATTATGAGGTCAGACCAGACACTTACAGAAAAAAGTACACTGTGCTGAAAAAAGTCAGCATAAGAAGATGCGTCTGTTGGGCCCTCACCTTCATCCCTTACCGGTGGCTGAGCATTTCTGTCACCTCATGGATTCTCTAAGAGAGCCCTCCCAACGTGAGTGGTTCTGTGGTTTATCCAGGGCCTGCAACCTTGGGAGAAGGCCCAGAAGCCCCCTGGTAGCTTGGCTGTGAGCATCTCTGAGGGCCCTGTGTCATGCGGGGGTGACCCCCCCCACCAGGGAGCTTGTGGTACCAGCTGTGTGGAGCCTAGCTGTGCTGTCCCGGGCAGCTGCTGGCTACCGAGCAGCAGAGAAGGCCGCTCAGATGGCCCTGGGTGCCAGGGTGGACATAGGTGGGTCAGCACCTCACCGGCCCTCCACAGGGGGCCTGTGTCTTGTCCACAAAGGGACAAGACTCCATGGCCCTCCGCACTCTGGCCTGTGGCTGAAGAGCTCGGCCCACCTGCATTCGGTTTGAACTGAGTATTCCTTCTCAGGCGTGAAAAGGCCAAGGTTCTGTTTCCAGACCTCAGCCTGAGTCCCAGGGCGGCTTTGGTCCTCCTAGGCCAAGTCTGTGGGCTCCTTCGAGTAGCTCTGGATGGCTTTGAGTGTGTAAGAGACGGCTTGGGAGATGCGGTAGAGGCCACTGTTGGTCAAGGGAGGAGCTGGCAAGCGATGAGAGATTGTGCCCCAGTCAGTGCCAGGCTGCTGCTGTCAAGGATTGCGGAAGCTTTGCCTGTTAACTTGCAGCGTGGCCTTGGGTGACCCCTTCTCTCTGGAGCTACCTTTCTTCATCGGGAAGTCAGAGCCCTGACCCGTGTCTCCTTGGGGGATCCTCCCCGCCTTGCCCTTTGGTGATGCTGTGATGAGGTAGTGACTCAGGAGAGCGGCTGAGGTGATCCCTGGCCGTACCCAGATCAGTGAAAGCCTCCTGGCTCTAAGTCCCCTGAACAGGCCCCCCTGCATGAGGGCCAACAACCTGGCCCTGCTTTTCAAAAGATAGAGGGTGGCTCAGTGTGTGTCTGTGTGTGGCGTGGGCATGTGGTCTTTAACATGCTGCTTCTGGCCAGTTCTTCCACCCTCAGCAAACATCCAGTTGCTCTGCAGGACCTATGGGGGGAACAGGCCCCTGCCCTACCTTACCCCTTGGCATCTCTGAGCCCAAAGCACCGGAGCCCAGGGTCCTCTGACTCTGGAGTCTGAGCCCCTGAAGAAAAAACTGCACACAGGGTGGGAAAGAGCCTTGTCCTGGTGAGGGGCTGGGGCTGCCTGGCCCTGGTTGGCAACGTGCAGGCCTTTCCCCTCCCTCGCTCACCTCTTCCCTGGCACTCTGCTGCCTTTTGCTTCCTGGACAGGAGCAGCTGTGTCCAGTCCCAGGTGCAGCACCAGCTGGTACCTGGGCTGCAGTGCTGTCCCTGTCACCGTGCCTGCCTGGCTCCCCGCTCTGCCCCAGCCCTCTCCCCCCGAGTGTGCTCCACTCAGCTGCCCACACCTGAGCACTGCTGCGGGGTTCAGTGCCATGGTACCGATTGTTCTCCACCTTCCGCTCTCACCTTCAGACTCCAGGCTCGGGGACGTCAGGGACCACATCTGTTCCTTCTGCTGTGAGCTTAGTCCTGGGCACATGTGGTGGCAGTTGCTTGGTGGATACTGAGGGAGGGAGTGAATCTTGTAGGTACCGTGAAGGTTAATGGTTCAGACCTGTGTGGTTCTGATGTGGCCATGAGCACCACCGTGGCTTGGAAGGGTTTTTGTAACCACCCTTTCCCTGTGGGGTTATGGTGACAAAGACAGAGCAGGTCCCTGAGAAAGCGTTCAGTGCACAGCTCTGTACTTGGTGCCAGACAACGTTAACCGGGGTTAGCTTGTCACCCCCAGCTGCTGGGCGAGTTGCAGGGCTGTGAAGTCCTCCTTGGCAGATGAAGAAGGGACTCAGAGCCGGTAGCTGACTCGCCCAAGGCTGCACAGCAGACAAGCAGTTTCTGTAGAAGGCACTTTGGGCTTCAGAGAGACTTGGAGATGGCTGCGGTCAGCCTGGCCCCTCTGGAGAAGATCCGTAATAATCGTGCATCAGATCTGCCGCCAGGACCCTGGGGGGCGCCCCTCCCCTCAGTGCATTCTTCCCAAAGGCCGGCTAGGCTAGGAGCTGGCACCTACAGAGAGGCCCCGAACCATCATGTTCCCGCCGCACACCCGGCCTCTGAGGGGATGGGGTCAGCCATTCCCCTGCTGAGGGAGTGAGGCTCGGAGAGGCTGTGACGGGCCCAGAGGCACACAGCTAGGAAGAGACGAAACAGCCCAGGCTTTTTCTGCTGCACCAGGCAGGTTTTGGAGGGAAGGGAAAGGCTTGGCCAGGTCTGAGCTGGGGTTCAGCGACACTGCTCTTCCTCGGAGCTCTTGAGCCCAGCACTTTTGCCTGCGGCCTTGGCCTGAAGGGACCCCGCTGCCCCATCACCACCACCATGGTAAAGATATGTTTCTGTCTCCAGGTGGCCCAAGGAGGACTTGGAACTAATTAACCAGTGGGCCTTCTGTGGGGAGAGGGTGATCCACGGGAACCCCTCTGGCGTGGACAATGCCGTCAGCACCTGGGGTAGGTGTGCCCTGGCCTCGTGGTCTTACCTGAGCTATTAAGAGTCTTGCTGCATTGCTAGATGCCCTGGCTCTGTTGGCTTGGGGTGAATGGCATTAGTGGATTCTGAGGAAAAGGGCATTTCCTGTTTGGGGAATCCCAGCTCTGCCTCAGATCCCCTGAATCGATCTCTGGGGCAGCCTCAGTGAGCCCCCAGGAGGTCTGCTTGCTCAAGCTGCCAGCCATGGCCACACACTTTGTAAGCCGCGCGCAGGGCCCCTCTGGTGAAAATAACTTGACCTCACACAGGAGGCCGCCTGGCACTGGGAAGTTGGGCAGCCTAGGGGGAGGGGAGCACCCAGGCGTCCCAGGCCTGGTAAGAGCATCCTGGCCTGGCTCGAAGCTATGCCTGGCGGTCCCGTTTGGCCTGTTCCCCAACAGGCCACACTCTGAGCCCAGCCCACAGTGCAGCCCTTCTCCCCAGGGGCAAATGCAGCTCTCCCAACCTGACCAGCTCCTTGTTCTCTCTAGGAGGAGCCCTCCGATACCAGCAGGGGAAGATTTCATCCTTGAACAGGTAACTCTGGGGCAGAGCAGTCACATCCACGGGTCCGGGGAGGGCGCAGCTAAGCCAGGTGGCCCTGGGCTTCCCGCCCTGCTGTGGGCTTCGGTGCATTGGCTCTGAGGACCCAGCACAGCGAACCCCGGACAGTTGCTCCTTGTCCTCCAGATCTGCTCTTAAGTTGCCGGGAGATGAAAGGGGCGTCACGTGTGGCCATCCGCACACCTTCCAGAAAGTGCCTTTCCCCAGACACTGCCACTCCCTCGTCTGTGTGCTCATCTATCTGTTGTCTTAGCATTGCCTTCCTGTGTTCCTCTCGGCACATCCTGGGGCCTAGGGATATACAGGTGGACCTCAGACAGTTTCCAGTGCCCGCAGCCCAGTTGTGAAGGAGGCAGGACAGACAGGCACACAGAAGCTGCTACAGGACAGCTCCGTGGTTGCCTTAATGGAGACTCAAATGGCCAAGGCAAGGCAGAGCGGTGCTTGGCAAAGCTCGGCCTGGTTTGTGTTTCTGTAGCCCGCCCTGTGGAGCAGAGAGGACAGGCCTGCATATTAAATGTCAGCATCCTCTGGCCTGTTTGCATCTGTGGTGGAAATGTCAGATGCAGGGAATTACATCCGTGCCAAACATGAGCTGGGTACCTTTTTGGTACTCGCACACTGGGCACCTCAGTGCCTCAGTGGGTCTCTTGGTGCTGTCTCTTGCCTCTTTCCCCGGGACATCTTCTGTGGATGGCAGCTGGTGCCCACCAGTAGCAGCTCACACCTGACTGTCCCAGTGCCAGCCCTGCCCCATCTGCACCTGTGGCAACTTCCCATCCTGGCCCTGCCGGCTTCCAGGAGGAGGCCTTCCCTTCCCCGGCTTGTCACCTTCGGCACTGCCGATGACATCTGGGGCCGGGTCGTTCTTCGTGGCAGGACTGTCCTGCGTGTTAGGGGGTGTCCAGCGCTGTGCCTGGCCTCCGCTCATGCAGCCAGTAGACCTCCCCGCTGTGGCAGCCAAAAATGCTGCCCCACATTGCTTGGTGTCTGCAGAAGGCAAAATCATTTTGCACCAACCTCTGCTCTGCACAGGGAGGGAAGCAGGGCCACTGAGGAGCACGGAATCACTTCCTCCACCTGCCTGTAAGAGGGGTCGTGGCTGGTGGAGCCTTGGGCGCTGGTGTTGGCGTTGCCAGCTGGCCTGGATCCATGTGGAGAGTGGTGCTGAGGGGAGGCCTCGGAGGCGAAGAAGGAGGGCAGCTGGAGGGTCCCAGAGCTGCACTGTGTGACAGCGAGGCCACAGACGTGGAGGTGCTGCAGGGAGGCGGAGGCAGAGCCATCTGTCTGGCGATCCTGGGCCAGTGGTGCCTCAGCACTGGAGGGGAGGCCAGCTTCAAGCGTGCAGGCTGGTGGGGAAGCAGGAGCCCAGCGGTGGAGAGAGGCTGCTGCTTGTTCCTGTGGTGGGCAGAGGCTCTATCGTCCCCGGGCGTGGTTTGAGCGGCCCTGCCCCTTGCCACCAGGTGCCCTGGCTGGGTGACTTCTGCTGAGGCCTCCACCGTCTCCTTTATGTATACGAAGTGCCTCTGTTTGCTCGCTAAATGATTCATCCGTTCCAGGGAATTATCAAGTGCCTACTCTGCGCTGGGCGCTGCCGCCTCAGTGGGGGACAAGATAAAGTTCTGCTTGCACGAGACTAGTACTTGTTAGAGTCCGCCAACCTTTGGGAGTTTGTCAGGCAGTCGCAGCACCTTCAGGAAGCAAAACAGGGTGAAGAACTCAAGAATGAAGGGGGAAGGTGATTGGAGGGAGTATTAGAGCAGACCTGATGGCTTAAAAATGATTCATGAGCTTTGCATGGTGGTGCACACCTGTAATCCCAGCACTAGGGAGGCTGAGGCAGGAGGATCGCTGTGAGTTTGAGGCCAGCCTGGGCTACATAGCGAGTTTAGGATCAGCCTGAACTACAAAGGGAGACCTCGCCTCAAAAACAAACAAAAAAATGAGTCATGTATGTGGCTGTGGAGGAGTGGTGGTGGGAGTGTACGTGCAAAGGTCCTGGGGCAGGAGAGCAGGTGTGTAGTGCAGCAGTGAGGAGGCCAGGATGACTGCAGTGTGCACTGGGGGAGGGAGGAACTGAGGTGAGGTCAGATCATGTAAGTGCTTCCAGGGCCCAGCCCTGAGTGTTGGTCGCTGGATGTCTTTGGAGTCCTGGGTTTTGTGGGACCCGCGGCAGGCCCATTCACAGAGGGACCTGTCTGAGAAGAATGAAGATGCTGCACACCAGCCCCTCCCCCTGCCCCGGGGGGAGCGACCTTTGCTGCAGGCTGCAGGGCGCCACAGTGAGCAGATGGCAGGTCCTCCGCGGAGCCGCCGGGAGGCCGGCTCCACATTAATCCCGGGAATGGCTGAGAGGGGGCCCTTTCCCCTGAGAATGCATGGCGCTTCTCCATGAGAAAACGCATTGTTTGTGAAGTGGATCAAGATGCGGCCTCCCAGAACGCTGCCCTTTTTGAGTAACAGCTTGTCTTTAAAGGGAAGAGAAAAGCCAAATAGAATGTTCATCTTCTGTAAAGTAAAAAAAGGGAAAAGAGAGCCAGCCTCCAAGGCTGAGAATCAATATTAATTTCATGGGCTTATGGGCAGTGAGATAAAGCAGGTCTCAGGCAGCCTTTTCCAGCCCTGTTGGATTTTACAATGTTGAACTGTGAAGAGAGCACGAATAAAGGTGTCAAGGGGCGGCCTGCGGCTGTCTCGGGCCAGAGCACATCCAAATTCTCGGCCCTGTGGCCCTGGCCTGTGCCACTCTGAAAAGAAGCTTAGATGACAAAGCGGGGGGGTGACTGGGTCCCGAGTCAGCTCAGCGTATGGCCGGTGGGGACTGTGGCTTCAGGGAGCAGTGGACGACTCCGAACGCCCCGCCTCCACATCTGGTTTTGTGCCGGGGCCGCCAGACACCATCGAGGAGGGGCAGGTTGGGCAGAGCGGCCTGTCTTCTGCCTGGGCACACCCATCCAGTAAAGTCGATGCAAATCCTCCAAAATCCAGTCTCTCAAAGCGGAAGTGCAACTGGGCTGAGCACTTTGGAGAAGGGACCCTTAGCCAGCATGGCACCGGCGTCTTCTCAGGCCCTGTGCCACCAGCCCAGGCCCAGCTGCTCCCCTTTTGTCATCACCAGAGCCCACGGCTCCGGCCCAGGCCCCCGTGCCCTGGCTCCACCACTTTGGGCTGCTGGCTGGACAGATGTACTGGGCCCCCCTCTTTGGGCTTCGCACTGGCCACTCCCCTGCTGGAGATCCACGTGCTTCCTGCCCTTCTTCCGTTCTTCCGGGAAGCCCTGAGGACCTTTCCCTGCCCCTCTCTGCTCCCGTCCTTAGGCTGAGCAGGGCTCCCTCGTGCCAGGCACGTGGTAGGTACACAGCTGATGTTGCATCAGTGAGTGCAGAGCCAAGGGGCTGTGTCCACCTGCCCAGTGACAGAGGGGGACGGAAACTGCGGCCATTGATGCGATCTGTGTGTCCCCCCAGTCTGATGCCCTCTCGCTGGGCCTCCACTTTGTCCTGTGTATCAGGGTGTGGTGGAGTCTTAGACTGGTCCCTTGATCCAGCTCCTTCATCCTACCTCCTTTTTCGCATGCAGGCCCCCAGCGCTCCAGATCCTGCTTACCAATACCAAGGTCCCACGAAGCACCAAGGCTCTTGTGGCTGGCGTCAGGAACAGGCTGATCAAGGTGCTTCTTGTTTCCTTCGTGGGTGGGTTTTAGGCAGAGCAGGATAGAGTCCCCCTCTGGCTGATGGGCTGTGGATGGGTCCTGTGATGGCATGGTAGGGATAGAGAGACTTGAGGAGGCGGTTTTGGAAGGAAAGACGGTACTACCTGTCCCCATACCCTGGCCAGCGGCGGGATGGGATTCCAGAAACAACAGTGGTCAGGCTCCTTTGTCACACTGGCTTGGTAGCCTGGTGTCAGGAGCAGCAGCAGGGCAAAGGCCAGGCTGGAAGGAGAGGTTCCCCGAGGATGGATGTGGCTGGTGGGGACTCTTCCTCCCCTCCACTGAGGGCTGCTGTCCGGGGTCCGCCTGCCCCTGTCCCGGGCTCACATCCTGCCCTTTCCTTGCAGTTCCCAGAGATCGTGGGCCCCCTCCTGGCCTCCATAGATGCCATATCCCGGGAGTGTGAGCGCGTGCTGGGGGAGATGGCGGCAGCCCCGGCCCTGGAGCAGTACCTCGTGCTGGAGGTGAGGGTGCACCTGCGGGCCCCAGGCTGCCCACAGCAGCCAGGCCACGCCTCTGCCCGCGCC